TATCATAAAGTAAGTGAGGTGGTAGGTGGGTGCATGCATGCATGATAAGTGCCACTCTTGTAGTGTAGGTGCAGGCTACGTGGCAGCATTGGGGAAGGCATCTCTGCATGCATGTAACACGATTGGACGTGAAGGGAGGCGCCATTGGACTTGGCGAAAGAGTACAAAATGAAAGGTGTCGCCATCCCTGTTGGCGAATAAGAGGTGGTATGGGTTGCAGTGTAGGTGCAGGCTAGGTGACAACCTCGGAGAAGGCATCTCTGCATGTATGTAACACGATTGGACGTGAAGGTAGGCGCCATTGGACTTGGAGAAAGAGTATAAAAATGAAAGGTGTCGTCATCCCTGTTGGCGAATAAGAGGTGGCATGGGTTGTAGTGTAGGCGCATGCTAGGTGACAGCCTTGGAGAAAGCATCTCTGCATGCATGTAACACGATTGAACGTGATAGGAGGCGCCTTAGAGGTTGGCATGGGTTGTAGTGTAGGTGCAGGCTAGGTGACAGCCTTGGAGAAGGCATCTCTGCATGCATGTAACACGATTGGACGTGAAGGTAGGCGCCATTGGACTTGGCGAAAGATTACAAAAATGAAAGGTGTCGCCATCCCTGTTGGCGAATAAGAGGTGGAATGGGTTGCAGTGTAGGCACAACCTAGGTGACAGCCTTGGAGAAGGCATATCTGCATGCATGTAACACGATTGGACGTGATGGGAGGCGCCTTAGAGGTTGGCATGGGCTGCAGTGTAGGTGCAGGCTAGGTGACAACCTTGGAGAAGGAATATCTACATGCATGTAACACAATTGGACGTGAAGGTAGGCGCCATTGGACTTGGTGAAAGAGTACAAAAATGAAAGGTGTCGCCATCCCTGTTGGCGAATAAGAGGTGGCATGGGTTGCAGTGTAGGCGCAGGCTAGGTGATAGCCTTGGAGAAGGAATCTCTGCATGCATATAACACGATTGGACGTGATGGGAGGCGCCTTAGAGGTTGGCATGGGTTGCAGCATAGGTGCAAGCTAGGTGACAACCTTGGAGAAGGCATCTCTGCATGAAAGTAACACAATTGGACGTGATGGGAGGCGCCTTAGAGGTTGGCATGGGTTGCAGTGTAGTTGTAAGCTAGGTGACAGCCTTGGAGAGTGCTTACTGTTGGTTAATTCAAATTCAGTACAACCTATTTAATCTTACATTTATCAAAACACTCCAACACTTAATCACTCAAACACTAGAACATTCAAAAATTCAAGCAATTAACTCATAAACTTCAAACCTTCAAATCTTCAAATAGTCATACGCAATGGCCTCTGCACCCCAATATGTGATCAGTGCATATTTCAACGGTGAGACATACATTTGTCCCACCTCTGGGTTTTTGTTTAGAGACATTGAGAACATCCGATTTTGTTTAAACAGGAAAGCCAATTTCTTGTATTCAAAAAACGATTGGAGGTCAAACTTGGACGAGGTCATGCGACACAAATATTTTATCAGAATCCTGTTTTTTTGGTAACAACCAAATAATATTTTATAAGGTTGAGGTTCAAGATGACAAGGACCTTCAGAATATGTTTTCCAGTCATGAGTATTTTGAGCACGACTCTATTGAGTTGTACATTATGCTGTGAGAGCCTCAGCTGTCACAAGTGGTTGATTCTCTGGAGACCGAACAAGTAGAAGTAGATGCCGTTGATGAAAAAGAAGAAGATAACGAGTTGGAGTTTGACGACATGGTCAACGATGATTCTGAAGACGATGGGATACCTGGTATTCCTTCAAACGAGATCTACACACCACCTCCGCACATGACAAACTTCAACATAGGCGGAGATTAACCGTCTTCTGATTTATTTTTCAATCCGTATATGCAATCGAATCAAAACTTAAAAGAGAAAGACAAATTTCGTAACAGAGAAGAATGTATCCGAGCCATCAAAAAATTTCACATGCTTAACTCGGTCGATTTTAAGGTGGACTGTGTAAATTCAGAAAGGTACAAGATCAAGTGTGTCCACCCAGATTGTATGTTCAAGCTCATTGCATCATACAAATTAAGAGGTGATTGTTGGGTCATAGGTTCTATGTCTACCCACACGTGTGTTAGTTCTACTCAATAACAGGATTATTGAAAACTAAATTATGATCTCATATGTCAAGAAATCCTACCACTCGTCAGCAATGATCCATCATTGAAGGTGAAAACCATAATCTCCCACATCACTACGGTATTTAACTATACTCCGTCTTACCAAAAGGTGTGGTTAGCAAAGACCAAGGCGATTGAAAAGGTATATGGAAACTGGGATGAGTCATACCAAGAACTTCCTCGCTACCTGAATGCACTCCAGACTTATTCTCCGGGTACTGTTTACATTCTAGAAACAGTGCCAGCGTACGCCCTGGATGGTAGTCAACTCAATAGAAATGGAATATTCAGTCGAGTGTTTTGGGCTTTTCAACCTTGCATCACAGGGTTTGCGTCATGAAACCAATTATACAAATTGATGGGACTTGGTTGTATGGGAAATACAAAGGCACGCCACTGATAGCAGTTGCACAAGATGGCAACAACAACATTTTCCTAATTGCATTTGCCCTAGTCGAGGGAGAGACTAATGGTGCTTGGAGATTTTTTCTCAAGAATCTCCGAACACATGTGGCTCCTCAACCAGATCTCTGTTTGATCTCTGATAGATATGCATCAATTAAAAGTGCATACAACAATCCTGCAAACGGTTGGCATGGCCCTCCTTCTACGCATGTCTATTGCATTAGACATATCGTCCAAAATTTCATGAGGGAGATCAAAGACAAAGCTCTAAGGAAAGCGGTTATGAATGCGGGATATGCATTGACACAACCTATGTTCAAAATCGCAACGAGATCTGTTTGTCAAATCTGGACGCCGGTAGGTGGATCGATAATAATCCAGTAGAAAAATGGACTAGGTCATACGACAATGGACAAAGATGGGGTCACATGACAACAAATCTAATTGAATCAATGAACGGGGTATTCAAAGGCATACCAAACCTCCCAGTCACTGCTTTGGTTAAATCAACATATTTTAGGATGGCTTCGTTGTTTGCCAAAAGAGGTGAAATATGGAATGCTGTGTTGCAATCTGGACAACTATGGAGTGAAAGCTGCATGAAGTACATTAAGGAATAAAGTGCCAAAGCCAACACCCATCTGGTTATACGGTTTGACCGACACAACCACAACTTCATTGTCAAAGAGATAATCAACTACAACGAGGGTCTGCCAAGATAAGAGTATAGGATTATATTACCTTCTCATTGGTGCGATTGTGGAAAGTTTCAAGCCTTTCACATGCCTTGCTCTCATGTCATTGATGCGTGTGCCTATACTCATCAAGACGCGCTACAACTTTTGTCTCCCATTTACAAATCTGAAACCTTGCTCAATGTATACAACAACAACTTCCCTTTGGTAGCAAAACCTGATTATTGGCCTGCATACGACGGCGAAATAGTATGGCACAATGACCAAATGGGAATGAATAAAAAGGGTCATCCCAAAAGTAGGCGCATCACAACCGAAATGGACTCCCTTAACAAGCTGGAAAGAAAGTGTGGTTTATGTCGTCAGGTCGGACACAATCGCAAAAATTGTCCGAATCGGGCTATTGGCTCAACCACATAAAAATTGTATTACAAAAAAGCTTTCCTTTATTAAGTTGTAAACATTAGGGTTTTTCGTTAACAGTATTTGTTACAATAAATATTGCGCGAACAAGAAATAAAACACGATAAACTGTCTACAAAATTACAACCGTTAAAACAATTTCATCTGACCCATGCATCATCAACATTACGCCGCTGTCTGTTTTGACTTCCTCCAACCAAAAATTAGGTCTTTCTGTCGCAAGTGAGGTTGTTGTCTGTCTTTGTTGGATCCTCATAATTTGTTCCCCCTCCTCGATGTCTCCCTCTAGCCATCGCATCAACTCCCTCTTCAGACGCTCTATAGAGTGAATGTGCTAGAATTTCATTTTCATCGGAGGTTTTGTGGCGGAGAAAATAATGTAACCATCTCTGATAAAAATCATGGGCAATGTCATGATGTAAATAACAGAGAAAAAAATAAGAGACCAGTGCGAGAAAGTGTGAGGAATGACGGAGAAACAGACGAATTATTTATAAAAATTGCATTTTGCCCTAGGAGCCAAGTGAGATGGCGCCTCCTCTCACTTTTAAAGTGCATGGGCCACCACACTTGGCTAAAAGAGAGAGGAGGCGTCAAGTGGGATGGCGCCTAAGGCAAATTGGGGAGTGGATGCGCCAACTGGATTGGCTCCTCCGTTATGTGATTTTCTGAAATATGGTTATTTGCGATTTTTTTTTAATATCTGATTATTTCAAAAAAAATTCGTGTTTCTGACATAATACACCCGGTTAAAAGAAAATGAAAAAGAAATAAAGATGAAAGGAAAAAAGGAAAACTGATAGTGACATAAAGGTGTCTAGTTGTCTAATTATATAGCTGTAACAAATACTAATCACCTTGAAAAAAAGTTCTTGATATGATAGATTGATAAGAATAAATAAAAATGATAAAGCTACTAGATAATTACACTAAACAAGTTAACATTAGAAGTGGATAAATTTGAAACGTCCGATCTAAATCGATCAATTTATAATCTTTTTTTTAAGCAAATGGATCGGGTCGAATGTCGGTTTCATTGGATTATTTGATTTGGATATTATATGATTGATTCGTTGAACTCGGATAATTATTTTAGATCCGTTAAGAACTGAAATAAAACTTGATCAGTAAATAGTAAATCGTTGATCTGAATCACAAAATTAAATTATGTAGATTGAAATTGATTGTCTATCTAAAAAAAAATAATTAAAATAAGATATAGAATCTCATTCTCATGGATAATTAACAATATCCATAGGCTAGTACTAATTAAATACTACTAGTACTCAGCAACTACTTTTATCTACTAGAAAATCAATCTTTTTAATTACTATCTTAGTGGTGGTATGAACGAATAACAGCTCCACAAAAAGTGCAAACAATAGCTCTCCAAGATTTCGTATAAAACGGAACATAGCAAAATCTTGTAGCTGTCTTCATATCCGCCACGCTAGCACCACCGCCGCACCGTGAGCAAGTTCCCGCCGCCGGCTTGCTCCGCTGCATCTCCTTAGTCTGGTCCACCAGAAAACAAAAGCAGACCATTCTTCCTTCTCTACGCGGCGTTGTTTATTTAATACTATTACAAAAAGTGATGGAAAATGAGAAGATGTGAAGTGTGTATAAATATAAGAAACGAGAGTTGAAGCTGGCAACAAGTTAGTTGAGGGTCATAATGTTGATGAGTTTTCTTAGTAACGAAGATGTGAATTTTATGACACTTTATTTCTGTGACATAAAGTGTGGTTTTAATGTTCGGTTTTTGAGTGTGTGGGTATGGATTATGGAACCGTTAAGATGCAGGAAGGAGTGGATGAACGGTTAAGTTGCCGACACGTGGAAGTGAACAATGATGGCTTAATAAATGAGACAAGGGTTTTGTAGGACCTGATTAATAAGTGGGTGGCAGTTGGTTAGGTCAACTTGTTATTTTGCCTCACTGTCTCCCTTTGCCCCTGTATAGTACAGTAGTATATTCCTATTGAAATTATTATTCATCTTGTTTTAAAGAAAAGTCAATACTCAATATATATAATTCTTTTCCTCTTTGTTATTCTTAGGTTGAGAGAAGAAGTTTAAAAGAAAAGAATGAGTAAAAATGGAAAAGTTTTTTAATGGTTTAATATGGTAGAAATTGAAAGAAAGAAAATTAGAACTACTTTTCTTTCCATCTTTGGTTGATTGAGGATAAGACTATAGAATAATTCAATGAACTAAGTCATCATTGGTTGATAGAAGAAAGGAAATATAGAATAAGTCAATGAACTAAATCATCAAAATGATATAAATGTCTCTAATTAAAAATTAATATTATGATTTTACATTAGATTAATCTTAGTATCAAGACAAATTTAATACCAGACTTAATTCACGAAATTAACGGAGATTTTCACTCACGAATTAAATAAGAGCTTTTATACCAAACAAAGATTTTGACATAAATTCTCTCAAATTAAAATTAAATGAGAATTTTTATTGACTAAGCTCATAAACCAAACAACAACTTCTCACAAGATATGTTGCACAAGAGATAAATTTCTCTTGCGCAAATTACAATAATACTCCAATACTAGAACGTACAAATAATGTCTATCTAATATTATTCACTCTTAAAGCATTAAAGCAGTTTAGTGGGGGAAAAAAAGAAGAGAAAGGAAAGAGTAGAGAGTGAAAAAGTATATATAAATAAGATAGCAACAATGACATAAGAAAAATCATTACCTCCTTCTTCGTCAACTTTGTAAAAAGAACTTAGGCAAGGAAGGTTACAAATCTCTACAAACTCTTCAAGAGATAAATGAATTTGTTGTTTTTGTACCTCACTAGTGAGAACTCCATCTACATAGTTGAGGTTGAAGTAGAACATTTTGATCAAAGTAGAAAATATTTCTACTAGAATGTTAAGATGAAGCTTCTCAAAGTTACTTTATTGAAGTGCATTAGAAACTCACTTTCTTTAAAGATCTTTTCTTTCAAGTAGTAAGAATGTATAATATCTCTTATTGAATAATCTCTATTATACCTATCTTATTGCTCTTATGTTGAAAAAGTATCTAAGAAGTAGGTTAGAGAATAGATGCAGATCCTTTTCGAAGCCATGATGATGATGATAAAGATAACAATTAGTATTTGCACACACAAATGAATACACAAGCATGGACAAGAAAGCAAAAGATATAATGAAGAGAAGAGAGGGCAAGATACCTTTTTAAAGACCGCTTCTAATTGATTATTGCCCCTTATAATCAATTAGAGCAGTTAATGCCATAAATCTCGATGATTGATTATTGGAGTGACACACACTTAATGAGGTCATAATTGATTATATAGCGTAAAATTTAAATTTCAAAAGGCAGCTAATCGATTAGACTTTTATGGTAATCAAATATCTATTACTTTTTAAATCTCGTCGTTCTTTTGAGTCTTAGACGACTTTAGGGATTTGAAATTTACTTTTGGCACCTCCTCATGAGTGACACTTTCATAAAAAATCCTTAGAGTCCATGGTCATCTAAACCATCAGAGCCTTGTATACTTAGGGTATACGCATGCTTTGCACAACTTTATTAAATTTGCATTTAACTTCTTAGAAGCCGCAAACCGTTCCCTCAAAACAAATTAATTTATACTTTTGGTACCTAAATTTTTTTGGGTCCTAGTACATTAGTGGCTTTAAGAGGTTTGGAGTTATTTCTCATAAACCATCTTAAATAATTTAACTTAGCATAATAATAGACTTCAAATGGTCGAACTTAATTCCTATAGAAATTGGACTTAAAAGCATGGTAATTGAATTTCTTTCTAGCATGGAAAATATTACTAAATGACCTATTAGATTTATAATCTAAGTCATTTTTATTTTTACGAAACTATTTGATTAGACAAAATTAGATCTAATATATTTTAACCTTTATTAAATTTTTCTTGGGTTTCATGCAAGCTGGTTATTTAATTTCTTAAAGATTCACAGGTTTCACATTTATCTAATTTTAAATATTCATTTATAAAACTAGTCATTTCTTACCAAATATTTTAATTCTATTTTATATAAATTGAATATACTCTTTAAAATCAACAATTATCTGTTCTAATTTTCCGTTATCTTTATTGGGCTTTACACTTAGCTTAAGCATTTGATTATACATTAATAATGTTATCTCGGTGTCGTAATCTTCTCTTGAGACTTTGAAGCACACATGCTCTTATTTTATCATTTTCCCTTTTTGAGAGGGAACTCTATGAGAATCTTTTCAACATATTGTTGGGAATATTGTTGAATATATCTCTGCATGAGTTTCTTGAGGTTGTATCATTTTTCGTGTGATGAATCTTTAAACGTTATTTCTGTTCTTTCAAAGATTTTTCTTGATGAAGCTTTTTCAACAAATTTTCTCTTGAAGATTATACTACATGAAACATTTTCATATCTTCTACTGGATGAAGCTTCTTCATATCTTTTGTTGGGTGAAGCTTCTTCAAATCCTCCAACAGATGAAGACTCCTTGGAAAATCGTTGTTTATCGTGACTGTTGTTTTAAAAGACACATCTAGTGTTGATTCTTCATTTATTTATTTCGATGATGACACTTCTAATTTTATTGAGTTCATTCCTTCATATTTTAACACTTGTATCATTTGTTGAGTTTATCAATGATCTACTCCTTCATGAATTTTCTTGAAACTCAATAAATAGACTTTTATCTTTAAAATAAAGCATTGGATCAAATTATGGCTCTAATTTCTGAATCTAAGATATATGTTAAATTTTTTTTAACATAACATCCAAGTATTCCAATGTTTGAACACCACTTATAAAGATGACCTTCATGTTCATTTGGCTTTCATCTTCCTGGATTCATATGTTCATTCTCTCCTTTTCATTCTTAGAAAAACATATATGGACCATTTCAAGAGTTTACAATTCTTCCTTAGTTAAAATACAATTAAAAACATATAAGTACTCTAAAGTTGCATGTCCCTAATACATATATAATTCTTTTCCTCTTTGTTATTCTTAGGTTGAGCGAATAAATTTAAAGGGAAAGAATGAGTAAAAATGGAAAAGTTTTTTAATGGTTTAATATGGTAAAAATTGAAAGAAAGAAAATTAGAACTACTTTTCTTTCCATCTTTGGTTGATTGAAGATAAGAATATAGAATAATTCAATGAACTAAGTCATCATTGGTTGATAGAAGAAAGGAAATATAGAATAAGTCAATGAACTAAATCATCAAAATGATATAAATGTCTCTAATTAAAAATTAATATTATGATTTTACATTAGATTAATCTTAGAATCAAGACAAACTTAATACTAGGCTTAACTCACGAAATAAACAGAGATTTTCACTCACGAATTAAATAAGAGCCTTTATACCAAACAAATATTTTGACATAAATTCTCTCAAATTAAATGAGAATTTTTATTGACTAAGCTCATAAACCTAACAACAACTTCTCACAAGATATATTGTACAAGAGGTAAATTTCTATTGCGCAAATTATAATAATACTCCAATACTAGAACGCACAAGAAATGTCTATCTAATATTATTCACTCTTAAAGCACTAAAGCAGTTTAGTTAAAAAAATGAGAAAGGAAAGAGTAGAGAGTGAAAAAGTATATATAAATAAGATAGCAACAATGACATAAGAAAAATCATTATCTCCTTCTTCGTCAACTTTGTAAAAAGAACTTATGCAAGGAAGGTTACAAATCTCTACAAACTCTTCAAGCGATAAATGAATTTGTTGTTTCCGTACCTCACTAGTGAGAACTCCATCTACATAATTGAGGTTGAAGTAGAACATGTTGATCAAAGTAGAAAACATTTCTACTAGAATGTTAAGATGAAACTTCTCAACGTTACTTCATTGAAGAGCATTAGAAACTCACTTTCTTTAAAGATCTTTTCTTCCAAGTAGTAAGAATGTAGAATATATCTTATTGAATAATCTCTATTATACCTATGTTATTGCTCTTATGTTGAAAAAGTATCTAAGAAGTAGGTTGGAGAATAGGTGCGGATCCTTTTCGAAGCCATGATGATGATGATAAAGATAGAAATTAGTATTTGCACACACAAATGAATACACAAGCATGAACAAGAAAGAAAAAGATGTAATGAAGAGAAGAGAGGGCAAGATACCTTTTTAAAGACCGCTTCTAATTGATTATTGCTCCTAATAATTGATTAGAGCAGTTAATGCCATAAACCTTGATGATTGATTATTGGCGTGGCACACACTTAATGAGGTCATAATTGATTATATAGCGTAAAACTTAAATTTCAAAAGGCAGCTAATCGATTAGACTTTTATGGTAATCAAATATCTATTACTTTTTAAACCTCGTCGTTCTTTTGAGTCTTAGACGACTTTAGATATTTGGAATTTGCTTTTGGCACCCCCTCATGGGTGTCACTTTCATAAAAAATCCTCAGACCCCATGGTTATCTAAACCATCAGAGCCTTGTATATTTCGGGTATACACATGCTTTGCACAACTTTATTAAATTTGCATCTAACTTCTTCGAAGCCGTAA